CTGATGGAATAGTACGGGTTGTCACAGTTCGTACTGCACACGGACAACTGAAGCGTCCCGTGGTGAAGTTGTGCCCTTTGCCACTGGGTGACTCAAATTAAAATGCATATGCATTTTGGTGGGCGGTATGTTCCGTCTTCACCCTTTTCTTGTTTGTATTTGTCTAATTATTATATATTTTTTTGTTTCATTAAATGAATCATTATCGCGAAAATAGGCAGTGTTTCATATTCTGTGCGTAAATATGGAGCGTGCCTCGTATATGCTCAGAAGTTTCTTCGGAGCAGTACTCGATCGAAGAATCGATGAATTGACTAATAGACTCGCTCGAAGAAAGATCCGTTTGACTGAAGTTTCGCTGGCCAGCTCGGGTCGTGTTACTAATAGTTTTGGTTCCTCACCTCCACCTATGAAGCCATAGATGAATTCTACTTGCACACAGGTAAGAACCACAGCCTCGTAATTTGCTCTCTCTCATTCAAACAATAAATAGGAATAAATTTCGGATAACGGAACGATCTGAGACACTTCAAACCTATGAAAAAATACAGTCCACTTCTCAATGAGCTACACTTTTTTTCGTAAGATCAAATTTCACTTAGGAAAAAAATAAATAAAAGAGGAACTTGGCTCCTCCACCATTCCTATGACGTACTTTCTGAAAATCCACATTCACACAGAGTAAAAATACGATTCGCTGTGCCAGTACGACGTTGCCGACATCATCAATATGTCTAGATTTCCGGAAATTGTTCTTTGAATGTATAATAACTATATCATAACAGCAATGGAATAAAATAGGTTCTTCAATCCTACTTTGTCAAGTGTTATGAATAATTCCCATAAACCTCTCATTGGCTGAACGAAGTTGATTACTAATAAAGATAAATTATGATATTTTGCGATAGTATCTATAATTGTTCACTATCGTTATATTACAATATGTTATTCATAACTTGTCAGTCTATTTTCTAGGGAAGTTGCAGATTATATCTTGCAACAGCGCCTGATACTTCGAGTTCGTCCACACCACTCAAAATACTGACAGGCACAACAAGAGGAAGGAGCCATGGGTGTCGGCTTCATTCTGTTCTGACTGATGACAGTACATTAGGAAGGATGGTATCATTGAATGTAGCCGATAGTGATATATTGGTTTAATAATATTTTCGTTCAGGATCGAGTTCTATTTGAGATATTTCAATGCATGAATAACAAAACCATAACCTGTCAGAACGAAGCCAACTACCCTCTGCATTCCTGCACCGAGTGCATTTGTGGTTATGTATGTTTTTGTTTACCAGTTTTACTACTTATTCTATTTCTTTTCATTCGTTAGCTATTCGTTAATTATTCGCTAGCTATATTTTTCACCATCAGCTATTTTCAGAGTAGATTCAGAATGTACGCCACAGTTTGCCGCCCCGAAAATTAGAAATTGCTTTAATTTTAAAATGAAAACGACTTGGACTTTATCGGTCGTCATTCTGTACAGCGTGGACATAAAACTGGAGAGTTCCAAACTTATTTTATTAAAATCATTCTGAAGGAAACTTCCCCATTAAGAAAAATTTTGACAGACGGCATTGCCGAACGCGTAGGGTGGATACGATGCGGATCCGTTATTTGCGTATCGGTCGTGTGTCGTTATGGACTTTTCGTAATCCCGCAGAAAGATTACATTTTGATTCCAAGGTAGGAACAAATCACTTGCCTCATAATTAAACCGAAAAATCCCAACATCGTGTTGTTATGGAACAGCTAACGGCCGCCGGCCGTTAAACAATCTTAACGGACGAAGGCTCTTAACATTAACTTTTCAATTGTCATCTGAATACCGTCAAATCAAAATCACAGTATGGGATTACGAAATAGTTATCAACGTTACAAGGCCGATATGTAGCGAATAAGGGATGAGGTTGAATACTGTGATCCGAGGCGCAGCCGAGGATTATAACAACCGAATCCGTTATTTGCCTATCGGCCGTGTGTCTTTCTAGACTTTTCGTAATCTCGCTGGAAGATTACATTTTCATTCCGAAGGAGGAACTAACCACGTACCTCGCAATTCTACAGAAAAATCCCAACATTGTGTTGTTATGGAAGAGTAAACGGCCACTGGCCGTTAAACAATCTTAACGGACAAAGGCTGTTAACAATAACTTTTCAATTGTCATCTGAAAACCGTTAAATAAAAATAACAGAATGGGATAACAAAATAGTTATCAACGTTACAAGGCCGATATGTAGCAAATAACGAATGCGATTGAATTATGTAATCCGAGGCGTAGCCGAGGATTATAAAAACCGAATCCGTTATTTGCATATCGGCCGTGTGTCGTTCAAGACTTTTCGTAATTTCGCTGGAAGATTACATTTTGATTCCGAGGAAAGAACAAACCTCATATTTCTACAGAAGAAGCCCAACATTGTGTTTTGTCATGGAACAGCTTAACAATATCACCTTAATATTATAACGGCTTTCAGCCGTTGAACAATCTTAACGGACGAAGGCTGTTAACATTACCTTTTCAATTGTCATCTGAATACCGTTAAATCAAAATAACAGTATGGGATTACGAAATAGTAATTAACGTCATAGGACCGATATTTAGCAAATAACGGATGAGGTTGAATATTGTAATCCGAGGCGCAGCCAAGGATTATAACAACCGAATCCGTTATTTGCATATCGGCCGTGTGTCGTTCAAGACTTTTCGTAATCTCGCTGGAAGATAAAATTTTGATTTCGAAGAAAGAACAAACCACGTACCTCATAATTCAACAGATAAATCCCAACACTGTGTTGTCATGGAACAGCTGAACAATATCGCAATGATATTATAACGGCTGTCGGCCGTTAAACAATCTTAAATGGTTATAAACGGTATAGGGCCGATGTTTAGGAAATAACGGATGAGGTTGAATATTGTGATCCGAGGCGCAGCCGAGGATTATAACAACCGAATCCGTAATTTACTTATCGGCCGTGTGTCTTTCAACACTTTTCGTAATCTCGCTGGAAGATTACAATTTGATTCCGAGGAAAGAACAAACCACCTACCTCATAATTCTACAGAAAAATCCCAACATTCTGTTGTCATGGATCAGCTTGACAATATCACAATAGTATTATAACGGCTATCGGCCGTTAACCGGAGACTGTTAACATCAACTTTTCAATTGTCATCTGAATGCCGTTAACTCAACATAACAGTATGATGTACGATACGATAAATCTGTATTATCGATAGCAAGATAATTTTTTATCTGAATTATTATCGATATATCCATAAATTTTCCCACCCCAAAGTATGATGCTGTCTTCAACTAAATGATACGGACGCAATTCGGATTCCGAGTGATTTCTGCAAAAACCTTCGTCTTTTCACGTGCCCCTAACAATTCTTGTCACCAGACTATACAAAGCGAGAGCGATAGAGAGAGCATCTCGTTACAAAAAAAAAACATCGTCATCAATATCATCATTGCTGCATAGTAAAAATCTAACACTATCAAGTAAAAGTCGGTATCACTGGGGGTTTGGGAGACAAGGGGCGCGTTCAATGTTGAGGTACGTATGAACCAAGAACTTGGTCACGCTCTTTCGGGAAATTTGAAAATGTCTTGATCGTAGTAGCTTCGACGTATACAGTTCCGAATATGAGTGTTCCAGATTTTTTCATACAGCCAATATATCAGTTATGCTGCTTGGGAAAAATTTTAAAAAATTACCCTCTTGTGAAACCCATGACTTTGAAGCCGTTATGTCAAAGTCAACTTCTGACAGACTATCCTTGAAAAGCCACCCCTACTCCAATTATTCAAGTAACATCCTATACATTTTTTTGTTGATTAGTGAAGTGTAGAGTCCCTGTATGTATTTGACAGATTTGCTCTAATAGGTCGCGTGCACGATGACCGACCTTGGAGGTAAATTATTGAAACACAACCTCACTTTATATTTGTTTACAGAGGAATCAAAGGATTGAAATAGTTTTTCACGATATTTTGGCATACGAATTCTGTTTTTGCGCTATTCATTAATTCAAGCATGCCTTCTCATTGTGCTGTTGTACAATACACAAAAAATGCAGCGAGAGACAAAGGAATATGATTTCTCAGGTAAATAGTTTTCATTATGAAATTTTGTCATTTCTTATCGAAATTCCTTTCGCCACTTCTGCAATAGAAGCTAATACTGCTAATAGATAATAGATGGAATTTTTTTTGAAAAAAAAAATGGCTGCTCCAAGATGGCGGACAAGATTTGGTCCGATTCCATTCAAAATTGGTGAGTGGGGGTTTTTGAGGTCGGAGATCGTGATTTTTTTGTTGAAATTTATAAATTCAAGATGGCGGCTTCCAAATAATTTTTTGTTTTTGTTTAAATGACGATAACTCCGTTGTTATCAACACAAAACTATTACTGCGACATATCATATGTAAGAGAAAAAAAAAGTTATTTGTAACTAAGTCATAGTGAGCTATGACCTACATTTGAAAAACTAAAGTTGGTGCTGATATCTCTAATTCTAGAAGAGTTGGTATAAATTTCATATTTTTTTCGAAATCACTTTGAAAAACTGCCATGAGAATGTGGAATTCCTATTTGAATATTTTCATAAATAAAGAAGTTACGGAGGAGATATGAAAATGATCAAAATCTGTTTTTTGCGTGTAAAACAAAAACGAATAGATTTTATCAAAATATTTTTTCACATTATAGTTGGCCTTGACAAACTCCACATTTGGTGTCATTTAACCGACCTCGTATCTCTCACCGTTAAAAAGATACCCATGGTGAGCATGGTAACTGGGACACACTGAATATGTGAGTGACTATAGTAGGTACTTACTTTTAAATCATAATGTACCAACCGGATTCCTTCGTCTCTCGCTGCATTTTTTGTGCATTGTACAACAGCACAATGTGATGGCATGCGCGAATTATTCAATAGCCGAAAAACACGATTCGTATGCCAAAATAATTATGAAATACTACTTTCCGCTTTTGTTAGGTAAATAACTATTCCTTTATTTTTAAATCTAGTATTATGGTATTGGAATTATTCGGAACCGAAATATAATATGTCAATTCTCTCTCATGCGAGGTCATGAAGTTTCTCGTTTTATTTGTGAACGTCATTCTGATTCCACCACCGTTACCAAAATGGAACAAATAAAACTCAACTAATTCCCGGTAGCAAAGGTCATCCCCTGAAGTTGAGATGACATGAAAATTACGGGAAAACATTCCTAACTCCCGGCTAAGATTGAAAGTTAGACATGTTTTCCCGTAGTTTTCATGTCATCGCAACTTCATATGAAGACTTTGGCTACCGCGAGTAGCTACTTTACGAAGCCGTTGTTTTTTTAAACGAAATCCGAGTTCGCGCCTGTTTTATTACAGACAATAAGAGCAGAAAAGATGTACGATCGAAGCATAGTACGCACCAGATCAATTTCAAATTTCCCCAAAACGCGTGCCATTTTCCGAGAATCAGGCAATCCAACTCAGGTTAGAATCAATAGAAAGATGTTACTAGAACGATCAAGTAATCACTGTTTGTGATTTTCTTTGATTATATGACTGGTACTTCTGATACCAATAGGAATTCGCGTATAAAAACGATGTATCACACATAAATAATCTCATTGTGTGCCATAGTGTGACAGGTCATCGGATTGTCTGATTTCCAAACGAACCCCGAGAGCGAAATAGGACACTATCCGCACTGCACGAGCGAGACCGGCGTTTTACCGGGTTAAAGTAGTTCGCCCTCCGCCATTTGGGTGGAGACAAGATTGAGGGGCAGGTCGGCTATGCTGTCCTCGTCGGATTCTTCGGCTTCCCGCGCAGCCGCACACCCAATGGACACTTCCGAGGGCGGGAATTTCGGCATGGGCGGCACCTGCAACAAACAGGTAAGCATTTTGGAACGAGCACCCAAGATACCGCATTCGGTCAGGGCCTACTCTATCTCACCGGGCCGGACGTCACACTAGTATATAGGGACAAAATCGAGGCGCTGGAAATTGCGTTTCCCAATTCATTGATGTACCACGGGAAAACGGTAACAGTTATCAAAAAATGTCAAGAGATCAAATATGTACAGACTAGACTTTTCCAAGAGATGAATCAATATTGACTGATTTACGATGAATAGTTCAAGAAATATAGCATATCAAGATAAATTGACTACATTCGGGATTGTCGTTTCTTAAACAGCTGCTAGAATTTCAATAATCAAAGGCTCCTCATAGTATCTAGATTGACTGTAATTTTTTTCAAAATTCCCAAGAGCCAATAACAAACCAATATTTCAAATCAAGTAAAATGGCGATGCTAAACCTATTAGTGGGTCACTGACTTTTTTGTAGTAAATTTCATTGCCTACAAATCGATATGATACACTTACAGATAATCTGGACACACTTTGATGACGTTAGCCGAGTAGAAGTTATTACGCAAAAACCCTGACAGCGAATTAATTATTTTCAGCTATGAAGTATATATTCGAGAAATAATCCCATATTAATGAAGATAAATTGATTTGAAAACATTTTGAAAATATGAAAATTGAAAAGAACAAAAAATTAGTAGTTCTCATCCACACAATACTAAACGAAAGCAATTCTGAAAATATTCAACATAATGAAAAAGAAAAGATAGCCAGATATTACAAAATAACATGTACTTATAACAAAATATACACAAGCTAAAAAATGGGCTCAAAGTTTCATATTCATCCGGAAAGTCTGATGATTCTTCTTTTCTTATTATTTCGCCACCGAAGATCTACTGGAGATCTACTTGCCTACGTCACCCATTTATGGCAATCTTCAATAGAAAAACACGGGGAATCTCTAGCTGTCGCGTTGGACATATCGAAAGCATTCGACCGTGTTTGGCACGAAGGACTCCTCCACAAACTACCATCATACGGCTTACCACCTCAGCTATGCCATCTCTTATCGAGTTTTCTTTCAGGCAGATCGCTTCACGTGGTGGTGGACGGTGTATCGTCTGATACCATTGGCATCAATTCCGGCGTTCCACAAGGATCAATTTTGGCACCAACATTATTCCTGCTTCATATCAATGATCTGTTGGGAGTAGCAACTCGCCCCATCCACAGCTTTGCAGATGATAGTACCCTCCATACTGCGTTCTCTTCCAGAATTCACATTTCTTCCCAGGAAACTAAGAACTCAAGGCGCAGGCAGGTCAATGCTGTCAATGAAGATCTCGCTGAAATCACAGCCTGGGGAACAAACAACCTAGTTGAATTCAACGCCACCAAAACTCAAGCCTGCATTTTCTCTAGAAAGGCGGAACTCAGTATGCCCGATATTGTAATGTCTGGCTCCACCATCCCCACCAAGCCCACCATATCTATGCTCGGTATTTCCATCAGCAACACTCTTTCATGGGATAATCATGTCAGATCCATTGCAAAAGCTGCTTCACAAAAACTCGGATTCTTGTTCCGTGCTAAAAGCTACTTTACACCTCAACAGCTTCTCATGATCTACAAAGCGCAGATACGGCCTGTTCTAGAATACTGTTCCCACATATGGGGTTCAGCACCAAAACATACGCTGATGCTCTTAGATTCCATCCAGAGGAGAGCCATTCGCCTGGTGGGTGACGCCACACTCACTCACTCTTTGACATCATTGGAACACCGTAGAAAGGTCGGCGACCTTTCACTTTTCTATCGATACTTCCACGGGAAATGTTCTTCGGAAATCTCTGCAATCATCCCTTCACTAGCAATACCAATCAGACGAACTAGACAAGCCCAGTCAGCACATCCCTTCGTCGTCAACCTCGAAAGATGTCGAACAGCACTTTATCAAGACTCCTTCATCCATAGAACGGCTAGGCTCTGGAATTCATTGCCTGTGGAAGTATTCCCAACAACATATAATCTCCAAAAATTCAAAAAAAAAATCCAATACCTACCTCCTGTCCCTATCCTCCCTAGGAACGCACGATGTTCTTCGAACATTATAGGGGTTCCCTTTCGTGCGCTCCAATCAATAAAAAAAAAATTTAACTGAATCCCGCTATATTTCATATGTAATACCTAATTATTCAACACAATATTCAATATAGTTTTCAAAATATCAAAAGACCCACAACTGGAACATGAGTAATAAAACGTGCATTGCCCTTTACCTATAAGGAATTACCGCGAAATCGTTAATACGGGGAAATTAGGTAGGTATAATACTAGACAAATTTTTACGCGCTCTTTATTTCTAATTCATTTCGGACTCATTGTAGGTAGCTCAATAATTTTCTCACTATTTGATTGATGCATTATCCTAGTTTGACATACTCAGTCAGTTTCATTTTAAACCGATTCCAAATTGTCAAAAAATAGTATTCCGTCCTGATTTTCATTAAAATTGAATTTCTTTACATCATAAATCGGTACTAGTTCATCCTAATGAATTTATTTTTTCTGATCTGGAAGTTACTTTTTTTCACAATTATTTTGTTGATTGCGATTGCTTTATGTTAAAACAATTTCATAACATCTGTCAGATATCAGGTCTGACATGGGTCTGACTAGGGTCCCTTGATGAAAATTGACGTTAAAGTCATCTTAACAGGGTACGGACAGATCATAGCTGCATTCTTTTTTAATGATCTAGAGACTTTAGTTTTGTCTACTGGCATCCCTGACATTGCTGTCACGTCACATCCATGAGCGCTACAGAAAATCATTCAAAATTTCAATAATAGGTATGTACAGGGTGTTTACTTGTTGAAGATCATATGGCGAACGAGTTTTGTGATTATGATCCGATTCTATTCAAAATTGGAAGATATCTGGGGTTTTCCGGGGTTGGAGATAATGATTGTTTCGTCAAACTTGGAAAATTCAAGATGACCAATCCAATATACAGGCTGATTCACGGTGGATGGCACATTAGACGTTTCTGGAAAACGCAACTCAGGATTATTCTGAAAAGTTGGTGCCTCGAATAATTAGTTGTGTTCTATCGACCTGAAATATTTTCAGCGCTGCCATCGTGAATCAGCCCGTATAGCGAAAGAAATTTCTAATTATTATGATCTGATTCTATTTAAGATTGGTATCTGGGGGTTTTCGGGGTCGAACTTCATGATTTTTTGTCAAAATTGAGAAATTCAAGATAGCGGATCCAATATGGCGAAAGAATTTTGTAATTATGATCCGATTCTATTCAGAAATCAAAATTGGTATATGTGAATTTCCGTGGGGTCGAAGATTATAATTAATTCGTCAAAATTGGGATTTTCATGATGGCGGATCCATTATGGTGGACGAGTTTTGTAATGGAGATTCGATTCTATTCAAAATTGGTATCTGGAGGTTTCCGGGGTAGGAGATAATGATCGTTTCGTCAAAATTGGAAAATTCAAGATGGCGGATTCGATATGGCGAAAGACATTAGTTTATATGATTATTACTCTACCACAAATAGAAAATATGTAGGATGCAAGAGTGAAAATAACATGACTATAAGTTATACTGCGTATACCTACATCTTTGTTATACTTTTATCAATCATATGTATAACATGGGGGTAAAGTATATTCTATTCTTTATTTTCCTGCAGATTTTACGTATTACTTTTTATCAGCCTACTTTTCGTCCTAGACAAAGTTTTATACATGATATACGTGATATTAGTCACTCCATAAATTCTTCACCGAGCTGGATTTCCAAAAATATATTGAACACACATGAATAAGTACAGTAGTTTCGGTTTCCATCATTTCTCAATCATAAGGCTCAGCTCATTAAGCTGATAGATAAACTTCTGCTCAGCTTGAAATCAGAATTCATTCAGTCAATTCAGTCAACCCTAGTATACAGTCTAAGAACAGTCTCTCTTAGTGAAATATATTAAGCTTTCAGTACAATTTATATGTTCCCTACCTCGCAAAGATTATGCTGGAGTAGTAAACTCTAAATCTAGAGGACTGTTCATCTACATATATCTTGTATAGTTGAATCAGGAATTCCATATGGAAATTACGTATGATACGCCAGTGACCTCAATATAACCTAAAAAACAACGAATGTCAAAAATCTAGTGTTTTTCCCTAGAATTGAATAAGGATGGAACTATATAACTGTTTCACAAACACTTTAGAGTGAGAGGAGACGAGGATCTGTTTGTACCCTGTTAGGATGACTTTAACGTCAGTTTCATCAAGGGACCCTAGGTCTGAACAATTCATGTTTTCTCTACCAGTCGCTGAAACCAATCCGCGATCATCTGCGTACTAGAGTTGTGCACTAGAAGAAAACCTGATTCAATCAACGTAAGAAAGTCAAAAGTTGGCCAACTTCTTACTTGCTACTTGTTAATTGATAATTGTTAAATGTCTGCATAAACACCTTCATTGAAAACAGGAAGATCAACTTTTAATTGCTACTTGTTAAATGATAAATGTTTCTTGATAAATGATGCTGCATAAATCCACCTTAACTCTTTTTGTAAAGATTTTACACTGCCGAACCATATTTATTCACAAAATAAGCTGCATTAGATTTATAATATTGATTGAGTCACTGAAACACCGAAAACTGATCACACAACAGCTGGAAAACCATTAGTAACAACAAAAATGGCATTTGTCATTACGATTATTGCTCGTCTACTAAGAAAATTTGAGGTGCCGCCACGTTCATCTTTAAATAATTAATATTTTTCATTCGTTTTGCACCTTACAATAACTAATAAGTTGATAATTACATAACATCAGTTTTACACTGGTCCATCAGATATTACCTTTCGAGAGGGACGAAATATTCTCGAAAATATTGACGCTCTGCCACTAACTAAGGGGACTATCTCCCCTTCCATTTGCTTCTTGTTTCAACTCGTTATCACATAATGGAAG